GTGTCCTTCACGTAGGCCAATGGGAGCCTGCCACGTGTCAACCAGAAATATGTCCTCCATGGACCAATTGCGACGCGACACGTGTCCATCCATGCCAAATGGGTAAATTAGCCAACAAGGCCCAATCTTGGTGGGAAGCCCAGTCAGCCTTAGGTTTAACCTAAACCTAGGTATTGGCATGCATCCCAAGGCATATAAATATGCTCATTAATCCTCATTAAAGGGGATTACGCACATTAAACACTCTCACCTAGAGAAACTCAATTACAATATTCCGCATTAATTACTCCGTAAACAAGTACTAACTTGACCGTTGGAGGCGGACCTCCAAACCACCCGGAGAGTCCGTTTGTTTTGCAGGTACAGATGTCCGGTTCCAGTCTCGGAATTGTAACTCTCTCGCAGGACATCAGAAAACCCCGAAACACCACTCAATCAAGCTCTCCATGGTGTAACCACAAAATCTGTTTTTTTAAAAAAATGTTAAAGAACTCTTTATATTAAGATAATGCACATTAAAAGGTACCTATTAGACGATTTTGTATAACAAACCTGAGATAAGGTTGTTGATTTTGAATACTCTTAATGCAACAGTTCACCACCAACACCAAGAAACTCCTCTTCCAGTCATCATCAAGAGGAATTTCCACGATAAGTTTATTCACATTATTGGGAAGTACTCCCCCATGGTATCTCTTATAACTATCTAACACTTTCTTATAATCTTCATTGTCATCCTTTGCATCCATTATTTCCTTTCCTCCTCTTGGTATTCCATATACCATGTGAACATCAGCAGATTTTACGTCAAATGATCTATTTCTATCTAAATTAAATTTCATTCCTACGGCATCAAAATTCAACACAAGCTGTGCTGAAAATTCAGGAAAATTGTGGGGAAAAGCCAAGTGCAAAAATCCACCAAAACCCATATCCTTTATAGCTTGAAGCTTATCAGCTTGGTAAGCCAACTGCTGGACCAAGTGCATCAAAGGCATAACAGTTTGCCTTGTTGACAACTTTATTCTAGGTCCTTCCTCATTACCTACATCATCATAGGGTACTACCTCTATTTGTGCAACTCCTTTCGTGGCTTTCTTTATTTTAGGCATCTTCTCTATTGCAACCACCTTTGGAACCTGCATTGTTCAGGTGTTTCCTTAATAACCTTCACCAGGTCTTCTGATTGATCAACTTCCTCTTCCTTATGTCTATCTTGAACTTTCCCAACCTTCTTTTTACTGAAAATAAAAAAAAAAAAATTAGAAATTAATAAATTCAACATGCTTATAAATGCAATATATCTGTAATAATTTGACCTACTAAGTTATAAATGACCTTACCCCTTTTTCGTTGCAATTTGTTTAAATCGGTAAGGCTTCTTTTTAGGCCCATCATCAGCCCCATGTTCTTTGTCTCGTTTGGTTTCATCCTCAGTTTTAGGCTCTACTACAGCAGATTGCTTTGGTACTTCAATTTTGTCTTCAAATCTTCAAAAATTAAGTTAAAGATGCATAATTAAATTAAATTCTTATAAAATGAACATTGAGTCAATATAAAATTTGAAATAAGAACATTGTTTTCTAACTGAAAATGATAGACAATTAAAATAGCAATCATAAAATAATAACTTCACATGATCTTTGCTATTAACATTATGTTGGAATGTGTTATTGAAAATAAGCCAAACACTTAACTCGTCAATGATTTGAGTTAAAGCATTCTATCCAAATATAATAATAAATGGTAACTATATTTCCATAAAGAACATGTGGCTAATAATATGTTTTCATGGAAAGAACATTGATTTCTATTATAAAGAACAAACATACTATTAAAAAGAACATTTAAACTATCAAAAAAAGAATACACACTATTCAAATCTATTCCAAGGTACAAAGAACATGTACTTTTAAACAATGAACATTACACTATTTTAAAACGAACAAATTATTCAATATACAAAGTAACAATTTTATTGCCATTATAATAGATTTGGATGGTGAAATTATTGATTGCGTAGATATATACAAGCAACCGGCTTTTTATCACCCATTGCTCAAGAATCACAAGCTTCAGGTATATGCACGTTTAATTCATTTTTAAAAACTATAGTTAAACTAGAGTGACTTAGAAAACGAACCAATAGGTTACTGGCCAAAAGTGTTATTTCCAACACTGACGGATTATACTACAAAGAACATACTATAAAAAAAAAAAACATTCAAACTATATACTAGTCAAACTACGAGAAGGTTTTTCATGGAAAGAACATAGTTTTCAACTATAAAGAACAACATACTATAAAAAAAGAACATTTAAACTATAAAAAAGAAAACACACTATTCAAATCTATTCGAAGGTACAAAAAACATATACTTTTAGATAATGAACATTACACTATTTTAAAACGAACAAATTAAACTAGCATAACAAAGTTCACTATATGAAATAATACTCTAATTATTGTTGACAACTACCAATCCAATAATAAAAATAAAATAGCTGTGACATCTCAACAAAAAAACCAAAATAGAAGATACAATAAAGCAATTTTGTAATAGTCAAACCTTGTACTTACTTGATAATAGCAATATCTTTGTTAATGGCTTTCAACATCTCAGGGTCCACAATTGGATCTTGAACATCTGTACTAGTGAATCCTTCAATTTTCTTCTTACTTTTACCCTTTTTCTTTTCAAGGTAAGATATTATTATCTTATCATCTTGATCTTCGTGTTGCACACTACATCAGAAAAAAAAACAAATAACTCACGGATCTATACAAAAATCACCAAATTTGTATAAACAAATAACTCACGGATCTTTTACCCTTTTGTTTTCTACTATATAATCTTCCTTTTTTGCCTTGTCTTTTTATATCCCTTTAGCAATTATATTCAAACTGCACTTCCAAAGTTTCAATTTAAAATGCTATATTCTATTTCTAATAGATTAAAATATTTCGGAAGTTGAAGCTCTTGAGATATTGAAGGCTGCAACACATATCGGCAGATTAGACACATCAGGTGGAAACCATGCTATTCTCACTGGTAATTTTTAAATTCTTTGAGCTTAAATCTATCTAAAAGGTCCATTACCCAATATCCCTTTAGCCAAAAGATGGGTAAACTACTGGCTATGAACTTCAAAAATAGGCCCCATTACACTTTTCTACTCAAATATCACGCCATTATTCCCTATTCTATGCAACAATCACAGTACTCATCCCCGTCACGGAAAATTGCACAAACTCACCAATTTTGTATACAAATCAACAATTCACATTCACACGAATTAAAGCAAAGAAAAAACAAAAATCAAGTGCATATCAAATTCCTCACGAATTTTCATAAAAAAAACACACACACCCACACGAATTCATCAATAAAAAAACGAATTGAAGGGAAAAAAAAAATACAATTGCATGTTTCTTCAACAGATCTATAATATGAGTGTTCAAAATCAAAAAATAAATTCCGAAAAAAATTTATAATACAGAAAAAAAAACGAAAAACGTCGAAACTCATTAAAAGAGTACTTTCAATAAAGAAATTAAACTTACATATCATCTTCTTTCACCATCTTCAAAAATCTTTGAAGCCCAATTATGGTTTTTTAGCATTCAACTCTTTTAGGGTTTTAGTTTTTTCTAGAGAGAATATAGTAGAGAGAGAATTTTATTTTTAGAGAGAGAAAGTGATCTGAACAGATTTTACTTTTTATATGTGGTAATTATTTTTTTACTTTCTGTTTTACTTACTTGGTAAAAAAAAAATCGCGTTCTTTTCATATGTACACAATGTTCTGCGAGTTTTTTTTTTTTTTTTTTTTAATTGGGCTTCACGGACCTGCGTTTAATAGGCAATTGAATGTCGTTTTGGGCCGGGTGCACCATGCTCATGGTACACCCGCCGAAATATTATTAAATATATCTAACTGATAGTCCTGAATAATCTCGCGGTTGACACCACCAAAATGTACTAATATATAATAATGATTAACTTTTTACCCCTTCTTAATTGCCTAATTAACCTATTTTTTTTATAAAATAATACGAAGTACTATGTAGATATAAACCGATTCTTTATCTTAGAACTTCTCATCAAATGATGTAGTTTACAATTAGTAGTATAATAAGTTCAAAAAAGATGTGACACCTTGAATGGAACGAAGGGCAAGGACTGTATAAAAAACTCACAAGATTTTTCATTGCTTCAGTTACATAATTATTTATTTCTTATTTGATGTCCTCTCTTTTTTTTTTTTTTTTTTTTTTTGAACGGATTAAAACTTATTTTTAATAAATAAACATTAAAGTGAACGGAATTGGGTCGATGTGGAAAAGATAAAAAAGATGAGCCATAAAATCAGCACTGTACAATATTGCAAAATCTGAAATGATGGGGAAGATGGTGCTCATATGATACAACTAGGGGAATAGTCGTACAAATTTTCAGTTGAAGTACACAAATAAATCAATCTATCAATAACATAATAATAAAACAAACACCAGACACGTGTTACTTTTTTGTGCTTTTTTTTCCCTTCAATTTTTTGTTTTTTTTTTTTATTCACTTCCTAAAAAAAATATTCACTTCTTTATATAATTGTGATTCAATTCCTTAAAAAAAAATTCACATATTTTCCATATCTTTTATTGTATAAAATATATTCTATATTTTTTTTTTTTTTTTGGGTGATCCACCCAGTTTACCCATTGAGTTAATGCGGATTTGAGCTCAATTCTGGGTATAAATTAAGATTCAAACCTTTTTAATTTCATTTAAAAATATGAGTTATATTTTTTGGTAGATTTTGAATTAACAATATAATTCGTTATAAAATTTTGTAAAAACCGTGCATGGTACGGGACTTAATCTAGTTTAATTACATTGTAAACCCAAAAGCTCTGCATGATGTTCTCAAAACTATAATTTTCAGTTGAAGAGCACAAATTATTTTAATTACTGTTATAACTCAAAAGTATATACCTGGTATACAACAAATCCAAAAGCTTTGCATGATGTTCTCTGCGTAGTCTATAACAAATAGTTGAGCAAAACATAATTTTTCTAACAAAAAAAAGTAAAAAGAAGAGATTAAATTAAACCATCAAACACTCTTACAGGTTACAGGCCTACAGCAATTGAGCTACAGAACTTGAATTCTGATAGTTAGATGCAGCACTACATGAAACCACACAATCCTGTACACAGCTTATTTCTTTCTTGAGCCTTTATATGCTTGTTACAGATATACTACTTCCACAAATCGCCTTTATATGCTGTTACAGATATACTATCTCCACAAATCAAGCAAATTTATAATTCCAGCATGGCACTGTTGTTACCGGGTTAAAAGAGCAATTGTTAACAGTAGACCACCAGAGGGGAAATTGACATCGTGTACGAAACACATCCAAATGAGCTCTCGGCCTACAAAAGAGATCTTCATCAATTCTGTCACTCCATTTTGATCAAAACCTGGCCAAGATGGACGCACAAATGTAAGACGCTGATTATAGCGTACTTAAGGTAAATCTAAACCCCCCCCCCCCTCCCAAAAAAAAAAAAAGAAAAGAAAATTACAAAATGCAACATTACACAGAAAGTCAGGAAGTACATGTGGCTCTTTGATCAGAACTAGCTATCATTGTCTCTGAAACTAAAGGTCCTAAGGGGCAATAATTTGAATAAATGGATTTTAACAAGACCACAGCAAATATAAGATACAATTGCAAACGATCCAGGATCATGCGACGAATTCACAATGCACACACAGATAACATGCAACAAAATTTCTATGATAATGGATCCACTAAACCCAAAAAACACATATTGTCATATTGTCAGCATAACATTCATCCCCAGAGATTAAATACAGAAGATTCTAAGTCATTTCTTCACCATTAATTTAAGCTAAGCGAACTTAAGAGGCTTAATTAATCAAGGGTATGAAAGTTGAGTAGCTCAAACTGAGCAAGGCTGTTTTCTAATTTTCATTTTCAATACTCTTGTGTTAAACCAAAGGCTACTGAACCCCAGGATTTTACCTATATCATGTTCATCTTAAAATTTATGATAACAATTGAACCCAACATTTTTTGCAATCCCTCCACTCCCTTCCTGTAACAAGGAAAAATCTCCAAAGGCACAAGTTGTGAGATGTCACCAGATTCCAAACCAATAATCAATACCAGTACAAGTTAATTAAGGCAGGGCAAAGCCTAGGAAGGCAAGGCAACGCAAGGCCAAGACAAGGTAACCAGGTCAAGGGTAGACATCTTAAGACATGATGGCGAAAGATGGACCAAGGCATAGAGAACATGTCTTAAGATGCCCCACCTCAAGAAGGACAAGCATAGCCAAACATTCAAAAAAGAGAAACTAATCTTGGTGCTAATGCGTGCATAACTCAGAGGCATACACCCATTTTGGCAGTAAACCTACTAACTTGTATTTGTGTGGCATCAAGCAGTCTCCTAATCCATGTAAGTTAAAAAGGCCAAAAGACCAAAGTGCCTCATCTACAAGTATATAGAGCTTGTCCAAAAACTGTGAATCAGCAAGCCAGCCCGTCCTATTCGGCAGTTGACATTGCCACCCTCCAAACATAACACTACAACTCTACGAGCACATAAGTTTCATCCCACCATGTCAAAGTCGCTTTTGTATTGCCACAAGATCCCAATTCACACAACTATGACTACAAAACTCTCTCTAAAGTTAACGGTACTAGGCATTAACATTATGGCACAAGGAGATTTACCAGCAAATACTTGGTCCTAATCACCCCTCTAATTAGGTTTGTTATAAAAAAAATTTACATCATAAGGAGTTTCATAGTCACAGAACAATAACTTCGAGCAATAAACAAATGAACTTCACACAGCATGGTTTCAAGAGCCATCGTCATATCATCATCTTAAAAACACAGTTTATAGAGTAACACAACATCAGCAATTCAGCAGCTAAAATTTAAAAGAAACCAAGCTTATCTCACCTGCACTGACCTCATACAATAACATTGAAATCATGGATATCATCTCGAACTTGAAACCACAACCAGAACAACATTCATAATCCACATCAAAAAAATCTAAATCAAACATCATATTCAAAGCAGCCCAACATCAAATGCAGCTCAATTTGACTAAATTAGAAGCAATGAGAATGATTCATTACCTCAAATCCGGGTACAAGAAGGATCAAAGTCATCAGGAGCGAGCCGAGCAATCCAATTACTAAGAGTCTTCTTAATATCAGTGTGATTAACATAAGCTAATTCATACATAGAACAAAGATTAACAATCAAAGTTTCATTAAGCGCAACAGTAGGAACTCTCTCAAGCGAATTCTCCAAAACCTTAATCGAATCCGATAAATCCCTCAAATACATCAAACACAACGCCTTATTATTAATCGCAACAACATCGGAACCATCTCTTTCAATACATTCATCATACTCCCTCACTGCCGAAACATAATCTTTCCCAACCATATAAATCAACGCCTTATTTCTCCCCACCAAATTCCGAACTTCAACACTCAAATTCTCCTCTTTCTCCTTCATCAAACCCTCAACCTTCTGAAACGACAATTTCGCACCTTCCAAATCACCAAATTGCAACTGCACATAACCCAATTTCGAAATCAACGATAAATTACCCATATCTTTCTTCAACATCTCTTTAACCAAAGAAAAACAAACCCCAAATTCCTTTTGATTCGAATGATGACTAATAATCGTCGACAAAACGAAACTCTCTCTCCTCCGCCAAACCTCCCCATTACAACCCTCATCAATGCGAGCACGAACAAATTGCAGAAGAAGATACAACCGGTCCAGAGAATCGGGCCGGCGGCCCAGAAAAGAAGGAAGAAGAGCTTGAAGCCATCGAAGAGAAAAGGGTATCATCGACCCGGTTCGATTCGGGTAAACATTCGGGTATGATTCGTAACGGTAGGAAGAATTGTCGAGATTTTCGAGGGAAGATTCAATGTCGTCTAAAGCGTCGGAGTAGCGACGGAGTTTGGAAAGTGCGACGGCGTTGAAGGCGAGGTAGACGAGGTGTTCGTGAGGGTATCGGAGTTGAGAGAATGATCTTGCTGCTGATACTTTTTCGAGGATTGTATTCCATGATCCTCGAAGTGCGAGTTCGTGGAGTGAGTTGATTTCGTCGGTGATTAGATTGTCGGAGGTTTTAGTGTCGGCAACGCCGTCGACGGCAGTGGTTTGTGTGTTGGAGGTTTCCATTGTGAGGAGGTTGTGGATGGTGGGATCTGAGTTGAATAATAAAGGGGCTTGGTTTTTTTGTGTAGGGTGAAATGGGCTGTTGTGTTGGCCCAATTTGGCCCAATAATATTAATTGAACTCAACTTAGTGAGCTTATGTTGGCAAGGCATTAAAAAGTCATGGGACAACATATGAATTGGATAGTTCTAGAGTTCTAGGCTTTTAGCCACCAAATAAGTATGGGGTCTTTTTGAGAAGCATGAGAAATAGCTCAATGCCTAACCTTGTTCAAATTTGAAAATGTTTTCACGGATATCGTATTAAAGGCTATAATACACAAAATTAGATTATTTTTGGAGGTTTTTGAAATTTGGTGTCAAAAGTTCAAGTAATGGTTAACCCTCAAGATCATGAAAGACTGTTTGGGTTTATATATGCCTAGTAGTTAGTCACATAAAATATTACAGTAAGAAGGTTTTGAGTTAATAATAGGATGTGTGTCTATATATGGATTACAGTTGCTAACTAAATGCAAATTATGTGCCAAAGTAGACGGTTCAAACCACCAAGTGATTTCCTAAGATCTTATAGAGTCCATGAGACGCACCTTGTCTTCTATCCTTTTCATTTGAAAAAGTAAAAAAATCATTAAGTTTATTTAAAGGTTAATACTACCTCCGTTAACAGTTAGTTGCAACGATTTGACATAAAGTAGAGAGGAAAAATGTTCCATCGTTGCAACTAACTGTTAACGGAGGTAGTACATGTTTTCGCATTCATTCTTTTTATACCCCTTTTATCTCCATTTCTGAATTTCCAAACTCGACCCTCTTATTCAAACATCAAAATAGTAACATTGATCGCATAATCGTTGATGTAGTCTTATGACTAATAAAGAGGTCATTGCCATTTGTTATATAATAATGGTCATTGTTGTAGTAGTTATCCACCAATTAAGATATACAAGTCTTTCTTTATAAACGACTTTCTTTTACTATTCGAAAATTTTGGCTTGACTTGTTTAAATTCTCCCAATATGTATAAAACTATCTTCTAATTAAGTAAACACACCAAACAATCAACGGGGGAATATTAATTATTATCATTATCATATTAGCAAACCCATGCAATAGCTTAATAGCTTTTATAGTCACATCAATTACGTATTTATTATAGTTAGAGGTTGTTATCCCCAAGTTTATACACAATACACATACAATTCTTATTATCATATGATCTCATTAATTATTTGTTTGACAAAGAACATATAGATTTATGCATGTTTCAAGCAACTATATTTTTATAGCAAGTAGCCAAGTAGCAACGAAAGCAACGAACCCAACTACTCCGTAGTTAATACACAAATTACGTAACAATACTTTATAATAAGAATATTTCTTGTATATACTTACTGTCGATCCGAGTAGGATTGAAGGAGACAGATTTATATCTTAATCTGATGGCCCGCTATGGCCTGAATGGGCTTTCATGTGTTTGCATTCAATTCTGTAGATCAAGGTGCTCTGCTATCCTTTTTTTATTTTGTTTAATATATGATGATAGTTGAAGAATTGCATGAAATCAACAAATTAAAGACCAAGCAAGAAGAATTGAATAGACTTTAAAAGATATTTTAAGATAATGTTGATTTGAACATGATAGAATTCGTTTACTAAATTGACTATATTACAAAGTTAACTAAATTGTTGTAACTGTTTGATGTTACATCTACAAAAGTAACATTATCAAAATTAATTACTCAACTTGTATCCAAATATTTAACCCTTTATATCTCTTATCTACTCGTACTTTATATATAAGACCATAATACAAAAAATGACCATGTATATCAACCAAAAAACCCCCTAATACTATATAATTTGTATATACTACCTACCTCCGATTATTATTACTCACAACAAAGAGGTATTATTTGTGAGACATAAAATATTCTTTTGTTACGAGTAATGCGAACCGGAGGTAGTATATATATATCTAATTGTTAGTTTAACCTAGTATGAAATTACTTGTGACGACTACACATTTTGGATTGATTATCTATAAATGGAATAAATTTAATTGAAATAGAAGAAGATAAGATCAGAATATGCCCCATAAGCCATAACCCAATTAGGAAAGATTTATGAGACAAAAAACAGTACTGTAGTAAAAACGAGTAACACACGATAACATCTATATACTCCATCAGACCATCACGTTGTATAAAATTATAAAAAGTGTAGTAGTATTATTTTTTATATGGTAGATGAATTATTGAATAACGCGTAAATCTTGTCTTGTACTTTAGTGTCAACTACCATGAGAGGTGTGAGTTGCATGACAATATAAAAATAGAAAGTGTAGTACTCGTAGCTTATTTGGTCTCCAATATTAAAAGAATATATAATGAGAAAGCTGATTAAAGTTTGTGAATTATTCGTCGGAACGAACATTTCAATTATTGAACCTTTTTTAAAAGAAATAATACACGCATGTTATTAATTGACTGAGTAGAATAAATTGCGATTCAAAAAGATCTTACTTTAGTGGTTGAATCTGAAGACTTCTTCACTGATACACATAGATTTTCCCAGGCCAACTGCGTTTTCAGTTTTAAGAGTTGGTTCAAAGAAAGTAGGTGAGCTTGTGTATTTGTTCTTTCGCTATCTTCTACTCTCTTTCCTCTACAAGACTTATGGGGCAAATTTGATGGAACAGCCAATATAGAAAGCGGAACAAAGCTAGTGAGACGTAGAGATAACATTATCGAGTCAGACTGGTCCGTGGCACAATTTGATCCAACATGAAAAAAACATGACATGACAAGAGACGTTACTATGTGAGTAATACATATATACCATATTGTTTAGGAAAAGCATAATACAACACAACAATTCGTTTTCACAAAGTGTACACGAATAAATTAAATACGACTATATAAGCACATCAGTACATCACAATGGTACATGGACTTAAATAATGCATAAACCACTTCTTAAAAATTTCGACATAAGATGAAGTTGATGGGTCTATTAGTTGTAGGCTAAAGCTTAGACAAGCCCAAGGCACATACACCAAACTTGGCCGGATCCACAACCATATATTTAGTAGGACGGAGGGTGTATAGATCTGTAGATGTATGTATTTTCCAAAATCTACTTTTCCAGTCTCCATCCGGCAGTCAAACATACATATACAGACATACATACAATGTTATTATATTATTTGGTAATTGGTAGTATGGGCACACACTAGTTGGTTTTTTGCTACAAACTAACGGAGTACTATTACATTACCGTCCATCTAGAGAGATACCATAAAAAAATAGAAACACGGTTTTAGAATATAATAATAGTACGTAATCATCTGTTTGAATATAAAGTGCAAAGTGAAAGTCAATATATTACACTAAGCTATCAAGAATGGCAGACATTAAGAAGTATCCCAAAAAAATCAATATGTATTAACTACTACTGCGGACAGATAGCTACATGTGTACGATATTTTATACACACTATATATATAAAGCTACCCAAACTTAAGCATATCAAAATATATGCACCCCTTTCTTTTAAAACCAAACCACCCTTAGTTTTTCCTTCTACTCCTTGTGCTAGCTGCCCTGCCTCGCCGGCCACCACGACCGCAACAATTACCGTGACTAACATAAAAAAACTAGTTTGTCGACAATGGCGACCGATGGATGTAGGAGGACGGGTTTAAAGTGGCCTCTATATTATGTGCTATTTATGATAATATTGAGTACTTGTACCGTAGAAGCCAAAACAAGATATTATAAATGGGATGTAAAGTATGAGTTCAAGTCACCAGATTGTTACAAGAAATTAGTGATTACTATAAATGGCATGTTCCCTGGACCTACCATCACTGCTGAAGAAGGTGATACTGTTGTTGTTGAAGTTACCAATAACTTGGTTACTGAAAACACTGCCATTCATTGGCATGGTATTCGACAGGTTAGTTTATTTGATAATTTGCTCATTTATATAACTTTGTACTTTTTTATATTGAAAGATTATTAGCTTTAGTTTCTACTTTACCTTTAATTTAAGTTTACCTTAGTACTGTATTATGTGTATTTTTTTCATGTGTTCAATTTTACTAATTGGTATACGTGCTTTATAGATTGGAACACCATGGGCTGATGGAACCGAAGGCGTTACTCAATGTCCTATTATCCCCGGAGATACTTTTGTGTACAAATTTGTTGTTGACAGGGTAATTTTTTTAGTACAACATAAAACTTCATTTCAATTTACTTAGCAATATGCCTGATTTTAAGATTAGCAAATACTGTAGTATTTATCATTATACTAATCAAATATACGTGTTTGTGTACAAAATTGAACAGGCGGGCACATACTTATACCATGCCCATTACGGGATGCAGAGAGAAGAAGGATTGAACGGCATGATCATTGTTTCGGTTCCTAAAGGACAATCCGAGCCGTTCACTTATGACTTTGATCGTAGCATCATGCTAACAGATTGGTACCACAAGAGTGCTCTTGATCACACCGTAGGTTTGAATTCCAATCCATTTGTTTGGGTTGGTGAACCTCAGGTATTAGTCAAACATGTTAATTAGAATTTTATTTTCTCACGTAGTTAATTAATAGTCTTTACATTATTATATTATTTTCTCATGTTAATTAGAATTTTATTTTCTCATGTTAATTACACGAGAGTTTACTTTTATATTATAATAAATAATGTATATTCGTGTTACTTTAGGCCTTTAGCTATAAAATTCAAATGACTAATTCGTTACATGTTTGTTTTAATATGATATAGTCGCTTCTTATACAAGGAAGAGGCAATTTCAGTTGCTCAGCCGTCAGCATTGCTTCGGAGCCAGATGTCTGTAACGCTACACGTCCCGAATGCTCCCCGTTTGCCTTGACTGTGGTTCCTGGGAAAACTTATCGCCTTCGCATTGCTAGCTTAACTTCTTTGTCTGCACTAAACTTTGAGATTGAGGTAATAATAATTCATATTTCATGTGTAATTGACTTTTATTTATTTAGTAACTTTTTTTTTATTTTTTTGTTTAATTATTTTGTTTATATTATTGATTATAATACTGATGATATGCACACTTGTATATGTTACCAGGGGCATAACATGACGGTAGTCGAGGCAGATGGACATTTTGTTGAGCCATTTGTAGTTAAAAACTTATTCATCTACTCAGGAGAAACCTACTCAGTTCTAGTAAAGGCCAACCAAGACCCATCAAGGAACTATTGGGCTACAACTAATGTTGTGAGCCGAAAGCCCGGAACTCCCACGGGTCAAGCCATCTTTAACTACTACCCAAATCGACCTGAACAAAATCCACCAACTACCCCCACCACGGGCCCCATGTGGAACGACTCTGAACCAAGAAGAGCCCAGAGTCTAGCAATTAAGGCGCGGGAGGGGTTTATTCAAACCCCACCTGCCACCTCAGATAAAGTGATCATTCTCCTCAACACTCAGAACAAGGTTAATGGATACACAAAATGGGCCATCAACAACGTATCCTTCACCTTGCCCACCACCCCGTACTTGGTGGCTCTCAAGGAGAACAGGTTGAGGAACAAACTCCACCACGTGTTTGACCAAACACCACCTCCAACCGGCTATGATTGGCTAAACTATGACATCAATGTTAACCAAACCAATGTCAATGCCACCTCTAGTAACGGTATCTACCGTAACAAGTTTAACACGACTATTGACATTGTGTTACAAAATGCAAACATGATCAACCCTAACAACAGTGAAACTCACCCGTGGCATTTGCATGGGCATGATTTTTGGGTGTTAGGATATGGAAATGGCAAGTTTGACCCCTTCAACGACCCGAAAAAGTACAACTTGGTAAACCCGATAATGAAGAATACGGTACCCCTTCATCCATACGGGTGGACTGCCATACGTTTTCGGGCCGATAACCCGGGTGTTTGGTTGTTCCATTGTCATATAGATGCCCATTTTGCCATGGGTATGGGAATTGTTTTTGAGGAAGGAATTGAAAGGGTTGGTCAATTGCCTAACAACATTATGGGTTGTGGACTTACCAAACGCCTAATCACTCCATAGTTCCTTAATTATTAGCCTAACTTCAATGTTTGAGAATTCTTTTATTCTTACTTTAATTTTATCCCCCTGAATTCAAGGGATCATTTTTCTTTGTAAATCATATTTAATGAAATGATCGATGTCTTCCTTATTTGTACATGCAATGCGTGTATTAGGGGTGCAAGTTATTTGGATAAAGACTATAAAGTATAGCCTAATTCGAAATATTTTGTATTTGATAATGGACTGGCCTGGCAAATTGTCCATTAAATGCCATTAATAAACGCGTATTTGTGCAATTATATATTTTGAGTTTAGTCATAAGTTTTAGTTTGCAAAATCCCTTTTCTCAATTAACAACAATTCCATCTCCAAAACATACATGTACAAATCACTAGCTAAAATTCATTAATGTAGATATAAAAACAATACTCGTATTTGGTACAACTATGGGTGATTCGTTTTTTTTAATTATGATTTACAACCCTTAGGACTGCATTTGAAAATTTATGACAAAATCATGCACCAATAAGTATTATTTGTGCTTAATACGAGTACCTAATATTTTCTTTCGTACTTAATACTTAATCTTTCCTTTCGATTACTCGTAATTTAATAAATTGTCCCATGGACATACAATGATGGAGCAATTATGGGTGTTTGAATAACGTAGTGGTATTTCAAATAAACCACCTTCCTCTCTTCCCATTATTTTTATTCCCATGTTCCAACCCTACAGTTGACACAATGCATTAATGTGCATCGCTATATTGGTCAAATTGGACAATGACTTATCTGTGGGCTGATCTGATTAAGATTGCAGATAATGATCTCAATTGAAATTGTGTACTCTGTATTAAGCTAACCAAACGTAGTAATCTATACAGGTGCCTTTTTTTTCTTTTTTTTTCACCTGCAAAAATTTAAACTAAATTTATCAGACCTGATTAGCCCTAATTTTCATGTTATACACTTGATATGATCGGAGCTGATCAACCTTGATTAGTCCTGAAACTTATATCTACCTCATCAAACGGACAAAATTTCCAACACATTGCTTATCATTGCTGCAACCACAACTAACACGATTATCTAATTAATGCCCGTGATGATAAGGGTTTATTGGGTTAGATTGATCATTATTACCTGATTGAGAGTTACAAATAGATGATTAGGACTAGTTACCTGTACTTTCAAACACTCAAAGTGACATACCCACCAAGTAACAACCTTGGTGTATGATCATACACAGCTCCTTTGAAATTAAGTTCTGATAGGTACTTAGGTAAAGTTCATAACCTCAAAAATGTAATATTATTTACGTTGTATATAATAAAAGTTGCAAAATGCTAAATACTGTATGTATATATCTTCTATTAGTCCAGCACCATGCACATTTTGTTTAGAGATGCTACTGGTTGTGGTATGGGAGATGGAGGAGGGACCTTTAAATTTGTCTCGGATTTACAGTTTGGAATGATATAAACTAATGTAAAGAATCAGGAGCACACGTACGGCTGCAACGCCTTCAGACAGCCAGGAGCCAATAAGTTACAACATTAGTAATACATGGATAGGATCATGGGATTACAGAGACTTTTAGGAGCATTTGCTTCATTGCATATTGAGTTGTGGAATTTTATGGTCAAAATTTGATGCAGAGGTAGCAGAAGCATCTTCACTGCATTGGATATGCCCTCCTACTCCAATTTCTACTATACCGCATCCCATGGTTGCAGGAATCGCCTCTACTTGTTGTCCTGTAACCATCGCGGATGGTGCTTCCCCTACACCAGCAGCCCCCCCTGCCAATTCTTGCTGCCAATGACCAATCAATTCAATTTAGTATTTATTTGACCTTATGATGAGTAAAAAAAAATACTAAAGGATATCATTAACCTTGATAAGTGAAGAATATGAAGTGGTGTTAGACTGCATCAAAGCATTGAGAAGCTCAGTTGAAGTGTAAGCCTGATGCCACGTTGGAAGTGCTCCGATCCCACCTGTTTGATCATGGGGATGATGTTGGTGTTGTTGATGTTGCTGTTGCTGCTGCTGTTGTTGATGATGTTGTTGCTGCTGTTGTTGATGATGATGAGCAGTTGTTGTGCCTCCCATCTGAGTGTTATGTTGATTCATGGCAGCATTCATGGCATTCCCCCCCTGCCCATGATTCAAGGTTTCGTATATAGTTGTTGTTCCCGGTGTTGCTGAAGAATGGTTTGGCCTTCATTTTGTACCAATACAACAATGAGCCAGAGGATAGTCATTCATTACAGGTTTCCAGACACAAATCATAAGATGTTTTAAGAAACAGCGAAAAGTAAATTACCTCATGGCAATGGTATTAGAAGGGTCAGAGCTAGTGAAAATTTGGCCTTGGTTATGACCATTTTCTGGCAACCAACCTATGTCTTCAAACGACGTTGGCATCCCTTCACTCGTGTCCAAGAAAATCTTGCGATTTTACAATCATCAACATATTAGCCAAGGAGTTATAAGCACTTCAAAGTTCAAAGACAAAGCAATATCAATAACTAGTAGTTACCTGGACACCTGAAGGGTCATAGCTAGACATATGATTGCTCAGCAAGTATTTCTGCAAAGGACAACACAAAATCAAGCAACTACAAAAACAGAATCCTCAACTTTAATACAGTTACAAAGGACAACACAAAATCAAGCAACTACAAAAACAGAATCCTCAACTTTAATACAGTTATTCACAAATGCTTTTAAGTCCTGCCTTCTAATACTATTGAAAGGAAAACTGCACCTTATGAAGATAGAGCACTAAAGTGTTACACAAGAAGTTATGATACTTAATTACAACAATAGTCTTAATAAAGATTTGATACTGAACTCGATTCATCAGTCTGTCCATTTGCTGTAGTGCAGTACATACCTTTCGTTGTGAGACGCGTGACAAAGCATCAATGAGGTTCTTCTCACATGATTCAAGTTCTCCCATTGATGTGAAGGCCATTGGATCAGGCTCATAAATCCTGATCATAAAAAATTTAACAGAACACTAGTCAGAAATCATGTAACAAAACACTAATTCTTAGGAAAATAGTTCAACACATTCAAATTAATCATGCATTATTATCACTCTTTCTCAAATAAACCGAGGTACAGAGAAACAATGCAACAAAAACCAAATGTTTGACATTGTGTCAGTAAACTAAGTTTATAACCTTAATTGATCCTCAGCCATCTGAAGTTGGTGTAGCAAGTTATTCACTTCTTGTTGAAGATCCTGCTAAAAAACATAAATCCAAGCCAAATTAATATCTAACGAAGTCCTTTTACATTTAATTAGGAAGGAAGATAATAAATTTATACCTCCAAGTTTGAGTTACATCCTCCAGGGCTGCAAGTAAAATCAACTTGTCAGGAAAGATAAAAATAAAATAAAACAAAAAGAACGCGACATGTGAAAAACCTATCATTTAAAGTTACATGATGAATTGTACGCGTTTGTGTGTGCTTCTAAACAATTTTAAATAAGCGAAAGGATGAGAAATACGAACTTGGCAAGTTGAAGAGCAATGTCATTCTCCGTCTTGAGCTTTTTTAGGGTGCCTATTAAGTACTGCAAGGACATGGAAATTAATACATGACCCTTTGCCAATTGCTAGCTTAGACATTAAATTGAACGAGATTCTTTCCAATAACTAGACGGCCCACCTATCGTTAGGCAGGGGTTTGTGAACACGACATTTCTCATTCTTTTAAAATTTTCCCATTTTTCATTTCCATAATTAGATGGTCTAGTAATCGGAGAGAATTCTCTTAATATAACAACAAAATTAAAAAAAAAAATTGTAAGTCTTACAATATCGTACCTCTCGATTATGAACGAAGCTGTTCATTGGAGTTGAAAGAAAGAAAGGTCCACTAAAATGTCAGTAAGTATTGCATATTAATCCATGAAAGGTAAAATCAAACAATGAATGACAAAACAAATATAATTGATAAAAAAAAACTTACTTTCCCCTATCATGGCCGGGAAGATTAATGTAACGCGTTAATACATCTTCAATTCTACAAACAAAAAAAAAAAAAAAAATCAAACAAAATTAATATAAAAAATCATAAACAGATTAGCCAAAGTTACGCAAATATCACACATGAAAAAAGTTTCCTAGGGAAAAACGAACCTTTTACGGCCAGAAAAATGGCTAAGACGACCGGAAGGCGAAAACATAATAAGTGCAATATCAATGTCACATAAGATAGAGAGCTCGTAAGCTTTCTTAATGAGTCCATTTCGTCGTTTTGAAAATGTAACTTGACGATTGGTGGTATTCTCAATCCTTTTGATCTGAAGTTTAACCCGACCCATGATAATATTATTGTACTAAGGTTATTTTATGTTCTATACACAAAAAAATTAACAATAAGAATTAAGGAAAATGATGATGGCGAAATGAAGATGATCAAAAGGAAAAGAGAAATGAAGGGACAAGAGAAAAGAAAGATGCGATGAAAGAGGAGAGGAGCAAGGATTTACGCTGAGGAATTGAAGAGTTTGAGTCAAATTTTCATCATTTTTTTTATTTGTTGTTAAATTAACTGTCATGGCGGGTGATGTGGAAACCAATTTTTACGCTCATTATTTATTTATTTTTCCCAATGGTTTTGGAACGAAACAAAAAAATTTCCAATAGATGTTGTAGTGTTGTACTTACACTACAATTTTTAAATGAATTATATACTAAACACACATATTAATGTACGGGTTTGATGTTTCATGTACTGAAACATACTCTATAATCATAATAGTTTGACTTTTGCACTATTAGATATTTACTTGACTATATTTTTTAAACATATATTGTTATATAAAATATTTTTGGATTAATTAGTCTCTATGTATATTGTCATCCCTACCTTTTAAAAAGTATGAAAAAACACTTATGAATAGTGTGAAGATAATTATATCCTTAAAAATATTTGTTTACCTATATGCCCCTATTAATATGATGTTAATTGCTTGACTCTAAGTTTATCCTTGTGAAATTTAATGATTTAACTCTCATGAATAGTGTTTAGACAATTATATCCTCTAAAATTTTAATTACTTAATTTGCCTTACTAATGTTAATTGCTTTTTTTTTTTTTTTTTTTAACTCTTAAGAATAATGTGCCAATATTTAGGCCCCTAAAAATATTTGTTTACATATATATTTTTCCTTATTATGTTGCCAACAACTAAAAAACTCCTTTAAAAAGGCTAATTATGACACGCGAGCTATGGTGGGATCGCGCGCAATTGCCACCCTAGTTATATCAAACTTTTATATTTCACATTAATATATAATTACTAACTCTCCTTACACGGTTACACCTGGGTAGCATATCTATGTGAGTATGTGACAATTTTTTTTAGGAAGCCCTCAATGAAATATAGAATATGTCTATTTTAGAGTACATATAATTTTTATCTAAATATTACATGTATTTGTCATTTTGTCTATTACCATGTATTTGGGATAAGAAGAGTGTGAGCACATCTCCTCCAACCAGAAGAAGCACAAAAAAAATTAAAATGGCGGTATGTGCAACTGCAGCAACAACAGCAGCACTCACAGCCATTGCCAATGCCAATTCGAGTACATCAAAAAAGCTTTCAAAACTCAAATTCCGAACTCTGAAACCAACCTCGAACAAATCTAACCCAAGTAGTCCTACTGGTTGGTTGGACGATACTGATAAGAAAATGTCAGCAAATGTTGCAGGAAGGCGAAAAGTACTAGAAATGGGACTTATTGGAGTTATGGCAGCTTCTACAATGGCTTTTGGGTTTCCATCAGAAGCAGATGCTTTAAGAGTAGAGTACTATGCCACTACTGCCGAGCCTTCTTGTGAACTCAATGTAGTTCGTTCTGGCTTAGCTTACTGTGACCTTGTTGTTGGTTCCGGTCCTGCAGCTCCTTATAACACCCTTATCAATGTACTAGTCTCATTGACAATCTTTCTTTAACTTTTTGATTTTCTTCCTAGCTTAACTTGTTTGTTTCTCTACAATTTTGATTGGTTATTTATGGATTTTAGGTGCACTACACTGCAAGATTTGGTGATGAGACTGTCTTTGATAGCAGCTATAAACGCGGTAGACCTCTTACTATGCGCATTGGTGTAGGCAAAGTATACGTTCTGCTCTGCTCTGCTCTTTCCCTTCCACTCTTAAGAAATCAATCTTTCTTTCTTTTGGTGATATTATTATGTGTTTCTTATACTTAAATGTGAGGAATATTGAAAATTAGGATAGTTTTAAGCTTAACACCCAAGTAAGACTTGCCTAATTTCATTTAAGAATAAGAATCACATAATAATATGATTTGTTTGGGGCTGTAATTTGAAATAATTGCACAATCAAAATGGAACTTCTCTTACTCTAAACCGGTTTCTCAGCAGTATTGTATATTGTTCAGGGAATGCATATATAATTCTGATCAACCATATAATTGTGATGAATATATCAATTTCATTTCAAATTGCAGGTTATTAGAGGATTGGATCAAGGGATTTTTGGTGGTGATGGGGTACCCCCTATGCAAGTTGGTATGCCAGCTTGAAAGATTAAATTTTTGCATAATATGTTTTGCAATGCTTTTACATAGTCTTTCCCTGCAATTAAATCTCTGGATTCATATACAGGTGGGAAACGTAAGCTCCGTATTCCTCCAGAGTTAGCCTATGGACCAGAACCAGCTGGTTGTTTTTCAGGTATAATACAAAAAACTGTGTTCATTGAAATACACAGCCAGAAAAAGGTCTCAAATCAGAACATTTCTAAAAAAATTACAATATCAGGTTGCCTAAAACCTCGGCTTGTGTTCTTCAGCAATGACAATACGTCTAACAATTGAACTAATTACTTCTGCAGGCGATTGCAACATACCGGCCAATGCAACTCTGCTTTATGACATTAACTTTGTGAATATATACTCGGGAAATAGGGCAAAGTAAGCACAATCTTGCTCAATGCACACTTGATCACACTTGATTCGATGCACCAGGAGATCGATTTCAGTCCAAGTGAGCTCCTCTCCCTCACTCTAAATTTCTTTAGTAACAAGATATTGTACATTTGTATCAGTAACCTTAGCATGTGCTCAGGTAATAAGTCTTCTACAGATAACAGCTTTATTTCAATCTCTCTCTTTTTTTTTTTTTTTTGAAGAAAGCTTTGTTTCAATCTCTTAAATGTCATCCATTTGCAGATAATTCTATCCTAGAGCAACCAAAAAGTTGCAGTTGTCTCATTGACTGTATTTTATAAAGTCATTCAAGTTGAATATGTGTTATGCTTTAACCACCCTATAGAAATTCTGTTGTAATATAGACTAACAGGTAATTCAAACAGCAGCTTCCATTGCTCCAAGTCCCAACTGATGCCTACCAAAGTTGAAACATTGTTAGCGAATTGGCATGCTGAGAGTTTGGAATGTTTTTGTTACTTCAGATTCTACTTATTAGTATTAAAAAGAGACTGTCAGATATATTACATTTTCGCTATACTTATATGTATCCTGTTGTACAAGTTCCTCCTGCTGCGCAATGTTTATAAAAGCTACAGTATATGTCATCATTATTATATTCATAGGAAGTCATGAAAATTTCATACTGTGCTATTGTTTTGCATATACTCCATATTTACTTAATTTAATATATACTTCATATACTTAGTCTTCGGTGCCTTTATTGCAAGCTTGATTTTAGAGGCCCTGTTAAGTTTTGACAAAGAATTTCAAACAAGGATTATCACGAAAACTGGTGTACGAAGTATATTAGTTATCAGAAGTTAGTACGGGAAATTTTACACAGCATATCCAAAGTGTAACAAACGAAGATCAAACTATCAAAATTGGAAAAATTACAGAATTGATCTACATGATAGAGCAAGCATTTGGGTTATCATCGCTGAACATGGTCATAAGAGGGTCCTGATCATATAGCGAGACTGTAGCATTTTTTGGGTTTTCGACGAATTCCACCTTTCTGACATGGCCAGGAGGAGCTTTCTTATCATAAGCAACCGAGGCATAAGGCTGAGACACTAGATTGTAAGGCACATATGGCCATATTTCTGCCTTCTTCCCTGTTGATTTTGCCTTCTTCAATACCTTATTTGCCTCCACATACCCTGTAACTGTCACCTTCTGCTGCTTCCTGTTGATCTCCACTGACTTCACTCCTGCAAAAAGAATTATATTTCGCAAATATCAGAATTTGGCAACAAACTGAATCCATTTAACTAACACCGATAACAAAACCTTACACGAAACAAGAATATGAATTACTAACTCTAGCAAAATTTAGCAAAAGGCCAGGAAGAAGAAATTTACCAGATAGTGAAGACAAAGCTTTCTTGACTTTAAGCTCACATCCATCACAGTCCATTCTAACTTTGAGCTCCACAGTTTGAAACTGCTTCCTCTTCTTCTTGTGCATATGACCACCACCCATCATTTCTGAAAAATACTCCAATGTACCTCCAACTCCCATACTTCTAAATTTTCTTTTACGAGCTAATGTAAATACAATCCCAGAAACCCTTCTAACCAGAGTTTTATCGTTTTATCAACCCCCTCAAACTATCGCCTTAGAGAAGTCTTTTTGCAACAAAGGATTTGCAAAATGAATGCACACAAAAAGTATTAATCTTGTATTGTAACTGAAACGTTTTCTCCAAGAAATATGATGTATTATGTTGTATATGTTTGTAAGATGATCAAATCATATGTATAATGAGAGGGAGGCAGGTGAATTTTTATAGCTAAAATGACATGGGAGAGACTTTGTAGGAAACTTCTCTCCAACAAACTAGATTCCTTTCTTTGCCTCGTAGAAATCTCAGTTTCATAACAAATACGAGTATGTACCAACTAAACTATAGTATAAAATAAACTATAAATTGGACTGCTTTTAAGTTATAAAAATAAAGAAACTGTGATCTAATTTCTTTCCCTTTTTGCTACAATGTGTAATGTAGAAACTTTACCTTTTATCTCTGTTCTTTCTTCACTAGCTTTCTTCTAACGGCTTTTTTTAGACAGGATTGTGGGCGGTTCGAAAGTTCAAACACATGAACTGTTTAAAAAACAGGGTTACGGACAGCAAAAGGTGATCAAAGATTAATCAGTCACATTATTATAAGAGATACTTATAAAATATAAGTGCACTACAGTACAGGTAGTATTGTGGTTTGATTACTTTGTACCGAAGAAACAGATACTTGTAGAAAATAGAGAAAGTTTGGAAGATTTATGTATTCATCCCCAAACCTATCCCCATCGTTAGAAGGTATAAACTCTAACCACTATACTTGATCCGACTAGCATACAACCAAAAACCATACCCAATCCCCCATTAGAATACCTATTAATCTATTATCCACTTATATTCACCTTGCCCCACTACTTACCTCTAATACCCAATCCACGCATCTCACGATCTACCACCAGCACCTAATTAGTTTAAACTTTTGATTAAGTTGTTTGACACTAGATTTCACTTTATGCATAATAATGTAATTCTTAAATGCTTAAGGAAAAAAAAATTAAAAAAAATAAAAAACCTAAATCAAACAAGTTTTTTCAAGAAATAAAAACTAATCATTGTATATTTATAGGTAAAATCTTGAATTCTCGATCAATACATACTATGTACACATTTCACGTTCATACCGACTTTACTACTATCAAAATTGGAAACTCCTAACCATACCCGTCCTAATCGGGAATTCACCCAATCCCCCCACCCCCTACCTTCCCTAAGTAGTAAGTTCACTAAAAGTAGCATCCATTAGACCATTACCTTTCTTCATTTTACACTTTGCTTAAGACATTAGAACTTTATCAAAATAGCTTACTACAAATTATAAATCTAAGACAAAAAGGACAAAAATTTAGTAGACATAATTAATTTAAGTTGGAAATTATTCAATCAAACAGAATAACTAATCAATTTAAAAAGGTGAAGCTGGTCAGCTGGTGGAAAATACAGATCACAAAGCAAATATTGAAATGTAGGTATGAATGAACCTAAAACATTGAGAAGGTGATGCGAAAATAAGATGTTGTCACGTAGTCACGTTTAAAAACGCGGAACATCGTTAAATACATACATTTTGACACGTGTTAAGCATCCAACGGTTCAGATCACAAAGATCATCAGAAGCTGGCTACCATCATCTTTAGGTTGTCTTCTAATTGGTTGATTGATCAACACGTCACAGGTGGGGGTGGGTCCATATCCTTAACAATTAAGGTAAGGTGTAATTATCATGTAAATATCTTAGGCAGGCCACCCTTAATAGCTTTTCAGTAAAATGAGAATAACATTAATGTTTATACTTGATATAAATTATACAGAGTAATTAGCTTCTTGTGATCTCATACTTCGACATACACCAAATAGTGTCTTCATGTAGCTGGGAATTACATCCTGTTTTATCGACAATTATAAGTAAGCGATGTTTTATCACCTAAAAAAAACTCGTGTAGATAAGGAACTTAGGAAATGTCAGAATAGATCAGTAATACGAAGTAACACTCCTACAATGGACGCGATTTTTTAATTAAAAGTACCAGAAATTGAAGCTCCACAACCCACAGAAAAGGCTCATTATATACTCCATATGAAATCCCAAAGTTCTATGAATCGCAGTTGTATATAAGAGAACCGAGTAACATAGCTCCATCTAGAGAGAAAAAATACTAACTATATATACACGGCTTTAATCGAGAATTATGGAAGACCTAAGTGGGAGGAAGGGGGGATACAGGTATGCTACAGATCCAATGACTTATAGGGAAAAATGTAAAGGCATTGGATCGATATGATATAAGTGCAAGGATGGTATTTACATCAGGTCTAGAAAAAATACTGATTTGAAATACCATTGTAGATGAAAGGTCACAAACGAGGTAGCTAGTACAGAAAGCAGAATCCAAGATGAAAATGGTGGATGCATTGCTGAGGCAGCAGAGGCTTTGGGAGAAGTCCTGCCAGCAATAGCAGGAGACACGGCCTGTGCACCAGGAATGCTCTGTTGTTCATTACTAGGCAATGCATTAGGTGGTTTATCCCCTGCTGGTGGCATTGATGGCTTTCGGTTCTGATTGCTTAGATCTTGACCTACAGATATGCCACAGGCGTAATTAGATTATTTTTTTATTCTTATGCATTTCTTGACTTCAGCCAGTAGTAGCAAAGAATTCTAGCCAGCCACATTGAAAGTAGATTAATTTGAGCACGTAATAATTGATGCTTTACGCTTTGACACGGCCTTCTTTCCCGAAGAACTTGTTTGTGCATCACACAAGCAAGTTTATATACAAACACAGGTTGGCAATTCGTAGTATCATTAACAGAAACTTGTCAGGATAAACAAGAGCACCTATCAGCTTAAGATCATTCAAATCAACCTTCATTCAGACAGAAAGAACTTTAGAGGAGACGCGGGAAACAATAAATAGATGATTGAAGATTCCTTCACAAACCATAAAGAAACCAAATGCAAAACTCCATAGGGCCTCACCAACGCAGATTGCAAATTGAAGCATTAGACCTTCAAACTTTAAATACTTACAATCAGAATGAGACCAGCCAAGTTTCATGTTTTCCCTATCAAATACCATGCGATATCCTGTCATGAAGTTCTCTGCAAAATAATATTTTTATTCCAAATAAGAAACATTTACCTGTCAATGCATGTTAAAGTAATTATATGTAAAAATTAAACAGGCCCTCACTTACGGCCAATAATTGCAATATCTCCATCGGCACGTCCTACAGCTAGACAATATCCCACAATTCCCTGCAGCATAGCATCCCAATAACTTAGCAAGGCCACAGGTTCAGGAAAGTAGGAATATCAGATGCTTCAATTCATAGCTACAATATTCATACAATAACCTGAAAGATAATCATGGTTTCCGCTGATTTAATATCTTAGCAAGATTTACAAATCACATCAATGATATCCATCAACATTAAATATAATAGGAATTCACATAAATAGAACACGCTTCAATAGACTCTAATATAGCGAGTCCACTCTTCAACAAGGAGATAGCTTTGGATAATGGGTACTGATATTCTTATTAGAAAATAGCTTTACAATAAGACACAACCTAGAGCAGAGGTAGTATACAAATTAAAGAAAACGCAAGCATAGGGCAGGCTACTGAGAGTCTGAGACAATCAGGCCCACGTCGTAAATAAAAAGGCTTTGATGTTGAATTATGACAAGTTTGTTGGATTAACATTTCATCTCAGCTAACACGAAATTTGACAGGTTATTGAAAATCTACCAAACCAGACAAACTTATAAGCAATAAGCTACTGAGACCAATCAAGCCCATGTTGTAAAATAAAATTTAAAGGCTTTGATAATGAATTTTGATTAAGCTTGTTGGATTAGCGTTTCATCTCAGCCAATGCAAACTTTGACAAATTATTGAAAAAGTACCAAACCAATCAAACTTAATAGCAAAAAGCTAGCAAATCGTTTTAGCTAGCTGAATACCTTGTCTCTTTGACTCGATTCACGGTGTACTATTATTACTCCTCATACAGAATAGTAAATTTCCATTCTTTCTCAGATATTAATAAAAGCTACCTTAACCCAAGTCCTCATTATGCCCAAATGAAGGAGCTGAATGAAATTAGTCATTTCTTAGGTGGTTCATGTCAAATCATACAGATTTTTCAAAAGGAAGAAACAACAAAAATTCGAAGCTAAATTCAAGTTCATATGGATAGCTAATTATATTCACATAAACATGACACTTGAATCAATAAATTCGAGTGAAAACAAGCAAATTCAAAATCTATGCATATGCTTGCAGAATATTGAGAAAGAATCTTGGAAGACAGATAACAGATTTCCAGCAATGGAAACCAGAATCAACTCAGCTTCGAAACTAGGAACTTGGGAAAACTAGAAACAATCAGCAATTATTATATATTATATTATTATACAACACTCTGGTTCATTCACAAATGAGACACTAATCCCTAATACTTCGTTTAAAAATTTGATGTACACACCTTCACTCAGTATTAAACAGCTGCCAGCAGCGTAATTTTATCAGCTAGCTAGTAACTACAGAATGTAACTCAGCAGATATTATTCTGTTCTCCTTATTTTGAAGATCACAGATATTTTTAGGGGAGCAGGGAAGAAGGTGGGGAGATAATTAGATACCAACCTGATACCCATTGACAGTGTACATAGGATATTGGACAACAAAACTCTGGTTAGATGGCAACATCAGCTCCAGAGAAGGATAATTATGTAGATCATCTCCACTGTTTCAACAAGAATATTTTAGAGTGGTCAAATGTACAAAGAATAAACACAGCATCCAAGAAATGAATTATTAAGATTTCACAAAAAATAACCTTGACTTGTAACAATAATCCCATGGAGATCCATCATAATTCACTCTAGCAGCTTCAACTTCTTTATCAAACTGTCAGATATAGCATTGCTTCAGCACTGGATAAACTGAACTAGAATTCAACTATGAATGACAGACAATAAGTACCTCCTGAGTAACTTTTTTATACACATCATCTGGTAAATAAGTGAAAGAAAACCCACTATCAACAACAGCATGGAAACTTGTTTGTTTGAGACAAGTGCCCTTCCCAATACAGACAGAATCCACGCCAACAACATAAGTTGAACTGAATAGAAGGGAGCAGAGAGAAAGAGAGCCAGCACCAATGAACAAATTAGTATTAGTCCAACAAGATTCTGGTCTATTTAATAAGGGGGTAGTATATTAAGTATAAGAAACATACTACTTTCCATCTAAAGGCAAAAATGGAGTCCACTGATGGGTATTGAGTCCTTGGTCACCAAAATATATTCTCCCAGAAAAATTTTCATTAAAACACAATGAGAAAGTGTTTCTAATTAATCCAGATTTTGCAAGAAGACTTGGCACAGAAATGTCCCCAGGACCTAGACCCATCAGACCATCAGGAGCAATTCCCTCCTCCAGATAAACACCACTTTGCTTCTTACCACACCTGTACAAGATCAAACAACCCATAAAGATGGCGTTCAAATTTCCTGGACATAGCAGCAATTAACAAATATCTAGCAAGTTAAACGAAGTATTTAATAAGAAATATCAGACCCGAAATCAATTATCAGAGCATACCCAAATATAATTGAAGCTTTTATACTTGATGGGCTATTACTGCTAGATGAGAGATGTAATACATCCTCAACAAGCTGGCCCGAACTTGATGTATTTTCCGAAAAATATTGGACATTGTAAGGGCATGACTGAGTGGGACTTTTACAGTTTTCCTGCTGTGCGCATAACCGATGGCTGCAGGTCAGAAGCTTACTGGAATTTGAGCTATCTGGGTTGTACTCGTTGAGGTTCTTATCCTGCATAATAGATGCCCCCATAGACCAAGGAGCACCTGCCAATCAATCACTGGAAATAAGTGCTAACACTGTTCCAAGTATTAGCAGGTACTAATCGTACAAAGCACAGGTATAAATCGTATTACAGTAGCAAAATTTATAGAACAATAATTTTGCAAGTAAATAGAAGTGTTCAAATCAAGTCGGCAAGTCGCATACTCCTTAATCCTTATCAGCCTTTTCATTGGTAATGGTGTCAAATTCTTTCAGTTTCTCTTTCAAACACCGCCCTTCAGCTCTATTTACTCATTCTTTTCAATAGTATTCAGTTTAAGAAGATAATTCAAGCTTTTTTCACATGAGTCTCCCTTATCTCAACTTATTGAGCTTATTAGAAATAATTCAAACTTATTAGCCCTCACCTAAATTAATGAACTTATCACTAATTGCTTCTAGTGATAAAATGAACTTGGTAGCCCAAATATGAACTTACTAGTCTTTATGCGAACATAATTATTCTTTTTTAAACTTATATTTTCTAATGTGGAAAGAACATGAATTAAGATAAAGGAGATTATCTTTTGATATCAATATAATCTTTATTATAATGGCTTAAAACTTGTAAGATACTATACATAAAACCATTTCTAGAACTAATTTTTTTTTTTTTAAAAAAAAAGTAAATGAAGAAAATAAACAGAAAGAAATAAAATAATACGGGCAGAAAGAAAAAAAGCATACCAAACCGTCATAATGAGTAGCCGAGAGAGAAGCACATTGGACACAATCACATGGAACCCAAAGTAGATCACTACCAGCATCCAAGGCAACCATAAAAGATACATTTGGTGTTCCTATATCAATCCAAGCATAGTATAACCTGCAAATTTACCGCTCATAATTACAATAACAAACACCGGAAGCAAAAGCACATTAACTTGACTGCTGCAAACTTATGCAGAAATGTCCATTCATAACTCCTCTAAATGTGCTAATAACTGAATAATTGTCATATATACTATTTAAGACGTCCTAAATTAATCATATGCAATTTAATTTAGACTATTACACTACTTACACACTCCCCTCTAACCATCTATTGTGATTTATATGCGAGGAAAAGCATAGTCATGTAGGATTTCATTAGATTTGTCTCGATATATACTTTCAAGATACTAATGGAAATTGTGCTTTGGGAAGCTTTATCCCCCAAAGTTTCAATACACTACTAACAGAGGAGCTATAATGCTTCCTAATATATCCTTACTTGAATTTAACAATGGAAAAAATGTGGTAATATTTAAGGTTCTAAGCTTTCATTACAGTAATTATAGTGAAATAATGTAATGCCCTAAATTGTGATTGTTTGGGAACTTAAAACAATAAGAAATATTCTAGGAAGAATAACAGAGAGTGAAATAATGTAATGCCCTAAATTATCACATACTGACAATAGCTATCACATTACTTAAAATAGTAATGGTTAATGATTGTATGTTCTGAAATCATGAAAAAATAGTGTGGTAATGACTCAGTAAAGCTTTCTATGTCATATCCTCACTAATGTGGGGTTAAGCCAATGGGAAAATTACCTACGGCGGGAGAGGTAGTATAATGTTGTTCTGATTATAGAAGTTATATATACTACAAGGGCATCCCAGAATATATTCGATAAGGTGATAACTTTCTACAAAAGCCATAAAATAGTAAATGTGATTATGCCATTGTTAATTCCGGCAATTAGAATCCCCTCCGTCACTCTTTAATACGCCACAATCTTCCTACTGTATCTAGTCTTCTTCATACTGTATCTAATAAGTTCTATTAAGAATTCTCCCATACTGCTCTTACTGAGTACTATTCTAAGGATTTAATGCGTAGTATCATCATTAGATGCTTGTTCTCAGCAATTGTAAACATTCGAAGACTAACAAGTTATTTCAAGTCATTTACTCAAACACGACGACTAATAAGTAAATGTGGCATATTGCGGAACAGAGTGAGTACATATTACAGCACATAACCCATCAAGTAATCGTAAACTAATACACAAAATCCCTAAAAACAGAAATTTACATCTAATTAACTATAAATCAGACAAAATTAAAGCAGAAAATAACAATTATAGCATAGAAATTGACATACCAACCAAGTTCATTGCCAAAAGACTGAGCTTGACTACCCTGAGAAGGAAAAACCAACTGATGTTGATGACCGATTTTCATCTTCTGCCTTTGAAAATCACCGATCGACAACCTCTGATAATACTCTTTACTCTTAAATTCCGGCCACAATTTCTTACCGGAAAACCCTCGCAACTCGTCGGAAAATCGGTGCACTAATCTGGATGTATACATCATACTACTCTCTCTAATCATAATCAAAATCAACAACATCCATAACAATAGAGCTAATTTCTTCGCCATTTTCGGCGATTAATCGATGAACAAAGTTATTAATCTAGGGTTTTGCAGAGATCTGGAAATAAATCGAAGTGAAGAAGGAGAAGTGAGCAGAGTAGTGAGTGAGAAAGAGGAGTGATAAAAGGTGTGTTTAAAAAAAGAGGAGAGAGAAAACAAAAAAGAGGGGTTTACGCTAATTACGCTCCGTCATCCATGTGTATCGTAATTCCCAAGTCCAAATCACCTTTTTTAAATTTTGCTTTATTGTTTTGTTGGAGCTATTTAATTATGGAAAGGGTAAGCTAGGAATTGTCATTTTCCTTAGCACACATCACTATCATCTAGATTTTTTATTTATTTTTAGAAGCTATCATGTGATTGATATACTGTAACATCTGTATTTCTTGAATAACTTCCCTTAGCATATACTATAACATCTCCGTATGTCTGAAGTTGAGGTGGAGTAGTGATATCGCTCTCCAACTCGTATTTCTGAAGTTTAGGGATCAAAACTCAAGAGACTCGTTATGAGACTCGTTTGAGGAATTTTCTTTATCTCGCTTCCTCCGATAATACTCGTATATGGAGTTTTCTAGCATGTTTAAACTATTTTTAGAACAATGGAGTATTCACTCAAGACGACCTAAATTAAGATCTTACGAGATTCATGTTTACTTTTAATTGGATTAAAGTGTTACTGCTTTTATATTGGTATCTGTATCATTGTATTGTCTCAGATTAGAATTTTCGTGGAACCAGAATTTAGTGGAGCTTGGAAAACGTATGATGACCCTTGCTATCCTTTGGCAATTTTTAAGGTCATCCTTTGTCTGTCTGCATCGAAAATCATGTGGCGTGACTAACATAGAAAAGTAATCCACTAACAAAAACTGTTACATTATTAACGGTGTCTTTCAACTCAGTTTACAAAAGAATGCACGAATCAATGATTATAATGTCAAGAAACATGTATACTACAAACAAAACACAGGTATACTACAAATACAATCTCGACAATACTATGTACAAGACCACGACCAACACTATTTAAGGGCAAAAAGTTGATCGACAAAAGAATAAAAGTAGGAAGAAGGTATCTCACGCCTCAGGGATGAGCTAGTCCCAATATAGGTAAGTATTATATTCCCAGCCCTTACGCTGATGTAATATCATCATCTTTGTAGCTTGAGCAAAAAAAATATTTAATGAGGGGAATTTGGAGGATCCTGCTATTTGTTAGACCATTGGAATTCAATTTCCAAATTTCTTGAGGGACCGCTCTTGCTTTCAGGTAGTAGCGTATACTCCCCAGCTACTGCTCCCAGCATAACTACTCGATCAATCTGGATTGTCACCTTACCAAATGAACTCTGCAAAAGCAAGGAAATATTGAGGTAAGAAATAATACAATCATGGTTCAAATGATGTTGTTCAATCTCCTCTAAAATGCTCATTTACCTTTCCCACTTTACTCTTGTTTTTGCATGAAATGTGTAGTTTCTGGCCCTTTGGAGGACTCTCAAACGACCATACAAAGCTCTCATCCCATTCTGGGGCAGGACCGGTTGACACAACCTGTCAAAACAAGCAGGGTTTAGCTGATAGCAGAAGGAAAAAACACTTTGTCGGATTGTGATGAAACAAGCTACTCACATACATCCCATAAAATGACAAAGATATGTTGAAAAAATGCACAAACTAAAAGTACAAATGCAAGTTATATGATGATTTTGTGACCAATGTCGAGAGTAACCAGTCTCAAATGGATGTATGGAGTATTAAATAGCAAGCAGGTCAATGTCTTTATAAGCAAAACTATTGATTAAATATAGAAAAAGAAGAGAAGGTTTAGCAAATAACTAAGTTGAATCTTACCTTTGTCTGTCTGGGTGGAGTATTCCCTAATGTTAGCTTGCAAAATACACTAGGGTTTCCCACTGATTGCCTCATATTATTTCCACGCTTGATAATTACAGTAAGAGTTCCAGGCAAACACTGCAGCAGAAATTCAGCCTTCTCTTGGAAACGAGGAGGGCCAGATTGGATCAAATACTGCAGCAAAGGAATTGCATCTGCAGCAGCTATAGATTGAGCACGAGATACTTCTGCAGGGCATGCTGACCACGCTTGTCTTAAAAGAAATAGAGCATCTAAGGCAGCTTCTTGAGTTGCCTCTGAGCCTGTTTTGAGTGAGGTCACTAGATGTGGTATACTAAGGGTAGCAGGTTCAGTGGCTCTCAGACGTGGGAAGTTGCCAAAAAGTGCATTCAGGGCTTTCAAATACTCATCATTTACATTTCCAGAGGCCCATAAATCCTTTTCAACAGCAGCTGCAAGATCAAGAACTAGTCAAAAACAGAACTTTATAAATGGATAACCATCTAATGCTGATAATAGAAATTGCCATGGGAAAAGTTGACTTCACTCCTTTTTTCCCTCCACTCATTGCATCAGCAGAGTTTGGGACCACTAAGATTCTAAATTTAATTTTGAAGATTTCAAGGTGGACATGTTTAAAGCAAAGAAGGATCTATTAAAGGCAAAATGCCACAATGTAGTGGAGAGCAAACAAAAGGGAACTGCAGCAAGTATTTGACCATGTGCAGACAACAAGGTGACTAGGTTGCCCAACAAGGTGACTAGACAACAAGGTGGACATGTTTTCTCTATTCGACTTCAAGAAGATGAGAATGATAGTTGAAGACCGAGGTAACTCAATCATTTTAACAAAAGTACTAGCAACTTTTACCATGAGTTCAGGAAATTTACCAGTTATAGCCCTGACAGTTTCACTGGAAGCATACTCCTGGATTGTATTGTTGGAAAAGAGAAGCTTAATAAACATAGCTGCCTGAATTGAAGTTTCTGGATCACTGGAACCAATCAGATCAAGTATAACTTGAACTCCACCGGCTTCTGCAACTGCTCTTTTATTTGCTCGGCTGTATGTCACGAGATTCTGAAGGGCACAGATGGCTACCACTTTCATTTCCTCAGTGGGCTGATCTTCAAGTAAATTAACCAGGGCACGACAAGCTGAAACGGCATCAGCAGAACGGGCTAGAGTCTCATTCTGGAATAGATCACCCAAAGCCAGAGTTGCCAACAACCTTGCCTGCTGACCTTGTGTTTGAGGGTCTAAGAGATATTGAGACAAAGGTAAGATAGCAGATCGACCGGCTTTTGACTCCCTGATTTTTACATTATTCAGCAACACCTCAAGCAATCTTGCAGAAGTGTCCTCGCATTGATGGCATCTAAGAAGCTCTAACAGAGCTTCAATTGCACCACTTTCAGCCATGGCCTCAGCGCTGGTTGAATCATCACTCTCCAAAACCAGAAGAGCATTCAATGCTCCAATTACAGTACTTTCTGAACCAGAGTGAAGCAATCTTACAAGCACAGCAATGGGAACTTCCAAATAAAATTCTGAGCTGAATTGCAGAATACAAGATAAAACAGAGGCTGCAGATTCCCACAGAGCATGAGGAAGTGGTGGCTCAACTTGCAATATCACCTTGGACAGCTCAATAACACCACCCTCCTTTGCGATTTCATTTGGCCAAATAAGTGCAATACCAACGAGAGCCTTAATTGCTCTCTGCTGCAAAATGTGTATCCCAGATCCAAGAGCTTTTACAAGTGGACCAATAACTTGTTGTGTCAAGGAGTCCTTCTGCAGGTTCTCCTCCAACAACAAGTGGGATAAAAGTTCAGCAGCCAACTGTTGTACGGCCGGAACATTTGAGTCTAGTAATGGAATAACAGGTTCAATAGCCTGGTGAGTGGTTAAGGTGTGGTCAGCACGACACTGCGGATGTTCTAAAATATTAACAAGAACCTGTAAAGCACTGTGTTGCCCATCTGGGCCAAGGTCTGATCGTGACAGCAACATGAAAAGTGGCTCAACCACTTTAGCTGCCGACGGGCCTTTGGCAATTGTGGCATTATTTGTCAATATCCGGAGCAATTCAGCAAAAGCAGCAGAAAGAAAATTAGGTGCTTCATGGAGTATGTCGAGTATGCTTTCGATGACCCCAGCTTTCACCATTTCCGTCTTGCAAGAAGGTCTGTCTTTTCCCAACTTCACCAAAGCTCTTGAAACAGCCTCATGAAGCAAGTAATTCCTGCTATATAGAAGGCCAACAAGAGGAATGACTGCACCATGAGCTGAAACTAGTTCAGCCAACTGCTCGTCATCCAAGAGCTTATCCAAAGCATGAACAACTGAATGCTGGGCAGGGGTGAATTCTGTAACTAGAAGAGAGACCAATGGCTCAACACAACGTGCTGCAGCTACTGTAGACCTGATTCTTGTATTTGTGAAGAGAACAGAGCATAGCTCAGCAGCATCACCCTTCAACTCCATTGAACAATTTGATGACAGGATTTTGCAAAGAACATCCACTGCACTCATTTCAACATCAGCCACTCCTAGGGCTCTAGAAGGATTTTCACTTAACAGCCTGATCAGTGCTGCAATTGCAGCATGCTGTTCTCTCTCCGAGCCAGTACTTAAAACTTCCACCAATGGCTGCACAGCTTGTCTAGCTGTTTCTGCATTTCTTACATGGTCTGCAGAAAATAAGCTTTCCAGCGCTTTGGCTGCACTGTATCTAGCCGCCCTTCCACCCAAGCGCAAGACAGCTACAAGCTGCGTTACTGAACCAAATGCAGATTCATGCTTGCATATTTCAGCACTACTAAAGAGAATCCCCAACAAATCAGTAGCAGCTTCTTCAGTTGCATCTTGAGGACCAAGTGAAAGATATTTGGTCACTGCCTCAAGTGCTCCTGACTCTACCATCACCATCTTATTTGATGGACAGTCAAACGCAAGCTGGGTGAGAAGCCCAAGAGCAAGGAATGGTGCCCCTGGACGATCAGGAATTGGTTTAAGGAGATCCACAAGGGCAGGTATTGCTTTCCGAGACATAGCTCCAACTCTAATGTCATCAACTCTAAACAATCTTTCTAGCGTCACTTGATCAGGATAACGAACCAAAGAAAACTCCTCCGACAATTTCAAGAGAGTGTATATATCTTCGTCAGCACAGCCAAGTAAAGCAATAAGCCCGCCAGCTACACCAGAGTTTGCAACAGATAAGAGAGTTCCCCTGCTACCATTACAGACTAGACTGGCCAATGCTTGTGCTGCAAAATATCTGTGAGCTGGCTCTTCCGACCTCAACAAATTCGCAAGAACTGGAATGGATTTCATGGTTGCATTTGCTCGTATGATATCTCTATCTTGAAACAGTATCGCCAGCAATAAAGCATAGGTCCATATGCTACTATCTTCAATATAGTCAGTCTGCAACATATATAACAAATACATATCAAGGAAATATTTATGCAAATCCTCACCCAAAGAAAAGGGAAAAAATCAACATACAAATGAACATTTAATGATATATATATATATATATATATATATATATATATATATATATATATATATATATATATATATATATATATATATATATATATATATATATATATATATATATATATATTCAGCCCAACAGAAAACCAAATCTACCAGCACATGAAATCCCAATATTAAACTGAGTAAAAGCATTACCTGAGTATACAGTGAAATTTTCTCTGTGACAGCCTCAATTCCTCCAGCTTCCATTATAGCAAGTTTACTTTTCTCATCATGAGTAGCAAGTATAGACAACAACCACACAGCAATATTGGTACCACACATGACCTTTGTGGCAGGAGTGGCTTCTGCATCCCTTCCCTCTTCTGTAACCCACTGAATGCAAATGTACACTGCCTCCTGCTCATTATCCTCCTGATCTTCCAGTGAACTTTGAGAGGTAGTAACCACTTCCACCAGAGCCTGTATGAGATAAGTAGATAATTTCGAGTCATTCAGATCCTCCACTACTCTGTGATGATTAACTCTTGCTGCACAAGAAAGAAGTGCAGCACCCCCAACTGTAACAATTGTGTCCCTAGAACTAATAACTCTTCTAGCAATAGATTCAATACAACCAGAAGAACTACAAATTATCTCCCCTAGTGCAACTAACTGATCACGGCAAAGCCTAGATAATATCTCAATTGCTTTATCCTGTAATGCTGGAGCAGCATCAGCTATACATGAAACTATTGGAGTGATCCGGCTTGGAGACTCTGCTAGAATTGCCCATGCTGGTCGGACTTTTCCACCTGGAACTCCAGCTCTTGACAGATATGCAAGGGCATCCAAGGCTTCTGATGTGGCAAGGGAGCCATCCTTGGCTAACTCCAAGAAAGAAACTAAACACAGAACAGTACCAACACGATTCACACAGTCACATAGAGCATCATCAATCAGACGTTTATGCAGAAGACGAGCAACAGCAGCTGCTGCATGAGTTTTGCCAGAAAGTGTACCCTCCCGCAAAACCCTTGTAGCAGGTAATATAATTTCTTCAGGTACCACTCTTTCTGAAAGTTCATCATCCAATAGGAGATTTGCAAGTGCACATGTTGCCTGCTCAGCAACTTCAAGAACAGAAGAACTTGCAAGAACAAGTAGCCGAGGCAAAACATCTCTAGCAACAGAACCGATTTCAGAGTTTTCCCTTACTGACAGAAATATAGCAGCAAGACAACAAGAGGTAGCAACTATAATCTTCTCTGATTCTGAATTCAGGAGCTTCGTTACTGACCAGAGAGTCTTAACTGCAATACTGCTCTCACGTAAATCTTTCCTAAGATGAAATATTCCAGCAAGAGTGGAGGCAGACTTTGCCTGGGTTTCTTCTTTTGCAGAACCCAATATTTTAACCATAGTCTCAATAGCATCATTGGCAGCACTACCATCCCGTAGAATATCATTAAGAGGTACCACAGACAGCATACTTTTCAAAGCATCCAGAACATAAATTTTAGATTCAGGAAGATCGCTGGTTAAAAGTGCAGTGAGTTGGCTGATGGTAGAAGTATCAGATTTGTGGATTAGATGATGCAATGTTTTGGCTGCAATCTCCTTCCCATTTGAGCTCCCATTCTTCAATAACCACAGCAGAGCAGGAACAGCATCAGCACTTTCAACACATGCTCGTATATCTTCACTATGATTACACAGGTTTCCCAATATAGTTGCAGAGTCTTCTTTGGCTTTTGCAGAACCAGTCTCCAGAATCTGAACCAGCGGAGGTATTCCACCAGCCGCGGTAATAGCCCATTTGCTCTCATCATTCTCATTTGAAAGAAGGGAAAGCAATGCAACAGCACATTCTTGTTGCTGCTCTGACGACAATCCAAGAAGGGATATTAGTAGCTGGACACCATCACGCCCTTGAAGTGCATGCCAGAGATTACCTTCATTATCACAAATCTTCAACAGCGATTTTACCAGCTCATCCTGAGCCTCATTTGAAGCCATTGTGATCAAACCAACCAACAACCGCTTAGCATCTGCATTTGCAAGTTTTCTTGAAAGTACAGAATTCCCATACAAACTGGCAAGTGCCTCAATGGTGCGCTCTTGGATGAGAAATGGTAAGTTAGGTTTAAACTGCTTAATCAATGTCTGTTCAACAGTTTGAGGGTCTGAAACTTTCGTAGATTCAGCTTCCTGATCATATATCATAAGAGCCGAAGCCAAAGCTCCTAAAGTATCAGCGACCTGTGATGGTGAAGTGCAAGATTCAAGGCTTTTTCCAAGGCTGGATATGACAGAAGACAACCCACCTGATATGTTCGCCAGAGCACACATCGCATTTTCCTGCAATGCTTGGGCATGCTCCCCTTGCATAAATTCTTTTGAGGGAGCAATGGTAGCATTTATGAGAGCTGGTATGCCATTATTGTTAGCTATCTCTTTCCTTGCCTCCTTACTCTGAGCAGAAAGAGATTTTAGAGCACCCGCAGCTTCTGCTCTGACAGCTGCTTCATTACCAGATTTTAACAACTTCAGGAGTTGTTTGACTGCCTCGCCAGCCAATACAGTAGAGCAGATAGATGCATCCTCCATCATCATACAAGCAAGAAGAAAGCACACGTTTGCTTGAGTACCAGGCTGTCCAGTTGTCAGCAATTTCACAAGTATATCCACTCCTCCAGCTCGGACTGTTGCTGACCAAAATCCCTCTGTGCTTCCACAAAGATTTTTCAAAGCTCCAGTCAGTAATTCTTCAACCAATTTCCCAGCTTCCAGCCCTCGCTCTAGCTGTCCCCATAGCACTGGTACAACACCTTCGGTGGAGAAAATTTTCGAACCAACATGATCCCTCGCATCTCCTTGAGAGACTGCATATAAGGTCTTTGCAGCAGCAACCTGACCATCAGAGGAGCTGGACCTAAGAAGCCCAAGCAGAGGAGGTATGCAACCACCTAGCAAAACTTTCACCCTCAGTTCATTCTCCTTGCAGAGAGACCCTAATACACGAGCAGCTTGTATTTTGACCACTAGCGACCCTGACCTCAAAAGAGAAACAAGCACTGGGACTGCCTGTGAGTGAGATCCAACAGCACTCAGTGCATTTTCCCGTGTTTCAATGAGTTCCAGCAACTGCCTTAAAGAAAACTCTTTCTCTTGAAACGAGGAAGAATTCTGCCTCAACTGCTCAATGCATTGGGCAACACTTGCTAGTGTCCCATCTGGATCCTCCATACTGGTTGTACGGTCTCTACACATTGAAATCAAAGGACAAAATATCAAAATCCCAGTTATTAGTGCCATCAAATGCAAGAACTTTAAATATTTTACTTGTTCAATTTTTTTTCAATCACTAAACGCTTTTCTGATAGTTCAAAGACACTACTGATACATAAACCAAGGAGAAGGGATGACAAACGGCTAATGTCAGCAGTTCTAACCCAAATTAAACATTTGAGAGGAAGCCATCAAAACTACAGAAAAAGAAAAGTGATGCTCTCAGACAAAGGAACACTACTTAAACTTCTCTAGTCAGTTCAACTACTAGAAACAGGAGTTTAGCCAATTATTCCTCTGTATATCTCATATGACACTAAATGAATAATATACATTGTTTTGTACACCACAGTATACTTGTATCCATGGTAGTGAAAGATTTATTATTTCACTTCATCACAAAATCTTGCTTACAAATTCCATTTACAATGAGATAATATGACATTTAGGTATTTCACTCAAGCAAGTGAAATTTAGTTTATAACATGAGCATACGGCAAGACACAGGATCTTATATCTAAGAAAGTGCATGTTTTAAAGTGGAAAATTCTTTACCCTTGATCCCTTCCTACTAAATGAACAAGTCCAACATAATAAACAAAATTGAAGCTACTAACCTCAATCCCATTTTTGTAACCGATCGTGGGGATGAAGGTTCTGAATTTTGGAGTTTTCCATCCATATTTCTTTCCTGCATAAATCAAAAGATTTAGTAGCAATGGAAATTAGAAACAATAAAAGGGGTACTTTCTCTGTAAAGTAAAACAACAGAGTTGATGACATAACTAGACAAAATTAACTAACTTAAATTGTTGTACAAGTTTAGAAAGATAGACACAGGGAAACAATGAATAGGTTTCAACGCCTATGACCTCAAGATCACATATCCCACTATGTCATGTTTGTCATCTGTCATGAGTTCATATGATGTCAAACTGTCAGCTTGAAGTAGTAACTTTCAAAAATACAATTACTACTACACTCAACTATTTCTACATTATCAATGTCGGCAGCAACCGAATTTCATGCTTAAATCTTTCTTACAAAATTACACTCCTAAAAAGATGTACCCAAATCATAAGGCCAATTATTCTGTCCAAAACTCCATTTATAGAGCCAGGATCACTTGTGTCAGAAACAGAATTGTGTAAAATAGAAATCTAGCCTGCCTCAAAAATAAAAGGTATATGCAGCCAAGATCAATAGTTAACTTGATGTAGCATAACAATCGCCAGCATATCGAAGCATAATTGTTAATGTTACCCAAGAACAAAAGGCTCCAATCATATTAAAGATAGCGTGAGTTTTATAGCACCATATCGAAGCATAACCCTTGTTGCTAGAAATCAAATTATGCAGACCAGTAATGCAGCCATAAAAAACAGCCGCGAAAAGTGAGAGTTCACAACACTGACAAGTGCCACAATGGACTTAATTGTGCACCCATGCATAACAAACTAGAAGTCATAACAGATCTGCAAATAAACTTCTTATTTTCACTGCCATCGGCATTTCAGTCCAAAATACAGATATAGTTGGAGCATTACCAGATCATTGGCAGCATGGCCATTGCCATTGCTGCCAGCAAACCTCCAAGCGGTCGCAGCCGCCAGCTTGACAGGCTTTATAAAAAATTACAGAGATGCAGATATTAGCTTCAGTTGTCTCTCTCCAGATGCAGAATCTGCTTTTAATCTAGAAGCATCCTGTATAGACCAGCAACATAAAATAATTCAGTAAGTAAACTCCAGTAACATCATCATCACTCAAACAGTATCAATTCCAGATCCTATTCGTTCACATTAACTTTTAAGTATTTCCACTACTTCGCCGATCAAATTAAACAAAAAAATTCACAAATTAAACCAAATCAATAAAAGCGAAGCAAAATTCAACAGAAAATCAAACGAACTAACGCAAATCTGAATCAAAAGCAAGTAGATCGAGTAAAACGAGCCGCATTTCGCATCAAAATCATGCAAATTAATCACTAAAATCAAATTCAATTATTAAATTATGCAAAAACGCAGTAACAAAATCAAAATCAATACAAGTATAATCAAATGCATAATCAAACAAACAAAATCAATAACAAATTGAATAAAAATAAGCAGATCAGAAGAAATTACAAGGAAATGAATTGAATTGAATGCAGAAAAGTAAAAAAAAAAAACCTGGAGAGAGAGTGAGAAAATGAGGAAGTAGCAAAATGAAGCATCCACTAGTAATAATGAAAACTTTGTTGCGTAACAAACAAGGGAAACCAAATTAGCAGAGGTTTTAGAGAGAGAAAGTGTAAGTGGGGGCTGGGAAAAAAGAGGAGAGAGAAAGAGAGATTCGGAAATTAGAGAAAATTCATTGGAGTTAAATTATAAAAGTTTTAAGGGGGGGTGTAGTTGAAGAAACACACATGCATACGAGTGGGAGAAAAGACTACTGACAGAGAAGCTTGAGCTTTCAGTTTTACAGAAACGCCACCGACACATCCGAATGTCTGCAATTTTTTTTATTTTTTTCTATGATTAATTATTTTTCCTATAATTTGGTTTTGGTTTTTCCTACTGTTTTTGTTTTTTTTTTTAATTATTTTAATATTGAAGTACTTACGGAGTAATTACTTATCGGTCTGTAAATTGTTTTACCACTTTAGCGTAGATTATTGTTTAGATGTAAGATTGTCCTATGGCAACTGTTTGGGTCCAATTTAGTCCAATTGGGCCTAGTCATTAAATGATCCAATTAAAAACCCAAGGTCAAGGTTCACCTCTCCAATTGTGCTAAAGTCAAGATCAGTCCACAAGGCAAGTCAATTGGGCTAAGACCCAACTTCTCCATATATGCAAAGGTATAAAAGCCATCAATATTACATTTGTACATTCATTCAGACAGAGCCTCAAGCAATTTATTCTCTTGCATAGCATTCTCTTTCTACACACTGTACTGACTTTAGCATCGGAGGGGCCTCCCTCGGCAACACCCCCGAGGCTAGTTTACGTGTGTTCGCTGTGCAGGAAACTTTCGGCCCAACATCACTTGGACCGAATCCAGTCTTCTCCACTTCATCGGACCCTCGACAAGGTCCCATTGTTTTCACCCTAAACAATTTGGCGCCGTCTGTGGGGAGGACTTTCAAAAATCTTTAAGCCAAATTTCTAACCAAAATCATCTTGCAATTATCTTAGTAGCAATGGCTAAGAACCGCAAAAGCAAAAGCCTCCGTCAAGGAGCAGGCGAAAAGCCTAAAACCCCTACACCATCACCCTCACCGGACCGGAACTCTCCCAAGGGTGCCAGCTCGGGGGGAGGATCATACAGGGAGGATTCCCTTTCTCCCGTAATTCACAACTCTCATCATAGGCCGAGTCCCTCTCGGTCTAGCAGGGGTCAGTCCGATCATAGGACCCATTCAGTGCTCCAAAGCTAACCATCGACCGTCCGCTCTCATTCCCACACTCAGCCGAGGACCCCTTTGACGGGGCCCAGCTCGGAGGAGGTGGCGAGAGCGCTGGCAGTGCTCATGGAGGCAATGAGGGCACAAAATATGCCGCCACCTCGCGATCGAACTCCTCCGCATACCCGGCATCAGCGGAGGAAGCTAGACCATGATGGTGGGAAACTTCCTTCCTTCCGGGAACTGGAAGAGTAGGAAGAGGATACCTGGAAAACTGAAAGAGAGAGGAAAAAGAACCCTCAATTTTTCAGAGGATCCTCAACCTCCCGACCGGAAACGCATAAGAGCAGCAGCTCAGCTTCTCGGCCAGAATCTGCTCGCCGAGAACCTGAGACTGTTCGCCGAAGCGTCCTCGACCGACTCGGCGGCAAGGAACCGAGCGTGCACAGTCGCCTCTCGTTCCCTGCAGCTGAGGCCCAGACTTCCCAGCCAGGGACGAAAACCACTCCTACCTCTCTAAGAGGGCGGAGCGCGGTCCCTTCGGCCAGGAACAAGGGCAAGGCCGTTATGCTACCCACCAGTTCCCCATTCGAGCAATGGATACTGGAAGAGCACGTGCCCACGGTTAAAATACCGTCGCACATCACATATGATGGGACTTCGGATCCGAAGGACCACGTTGCATCGTATGAGGCTCATATGCATCTTTGCCCCAGATCCGAAGCGACTTGGTGCAAATATTTTCCAACCACTCTAAAGGGGGTCGCGCAAGCATGGATCTCCAAGGGAGTGAAGCAAGGCTCTATAACAGGGTGGGATGATCTGTCCTCCAAATTTAGGAGCAAGTTTTCCACGGAAAACCGCCGAGAGAAGACTACTGCAGAACTCATGGGTCTGCAACAGGGGGAGACCGAAAGCCTCCGAGACTATCTGACCCGTTTCAGCAACGAGTCATCCAGCGTCTCTCAGCTGGACCAGGGGCTAGCCGTTTTTGCAATGCAGTATGGCCTTCAGCCCGGGAAGTTCCTAGACTTCATGGTCATGCATACCCCACAGACCTTGGAGGAAGCCCTGAACGCCTCGGATAAATTCATCCAAGCCGAAGAGTGGAACAAAACAAAAACCCAACCTCAATCTGGGGGAGGGAAGCAAAAACAAACGCCCTTGTCTGAAGGCCAAGGCCAGAGGACAAAGGGAAAGGCCAAGGCCTCAGAACAATCTTCGGCCAGCGAGCCAAAGAAGGAAAAATCTGCCTCATACACAGGCAGATACGAGTCCTACACTCCGCTCTCTCTTCCACGCGCCAAAATTTACAGCGTGACGAAGGAGGAGCAGAGTTACCGAAAGCCGAGACCACTCCCAGAGTGGTATCAGCGAAAAAATAAAAATCAGTGGTGCGAGTTCCACGAATCTCTGGGACATAACACTGAGGAGTGTATCCAACTGAAGGACCAGATAGAGGACATGGTCCGGAAGGGATACTTGAAAAAATACATCATGGATCACCGCGAGAAAAAGGAGGCCGAGAAGTCAGCAAAGGACCCTCGGCAAGACCTCGACTTCCCCCGGAAGAACAGTAAAAAGGCGGAGGGAAAATTCTCTCCGATCAATGTTATCTCGGGAGGAATATGCTCTCGGAGGGAACACAAGTGACACCTTAGGGCTCTGACCCACCAGGTGAACAACGCTGACATTCAGCCTCCCCAGTCGCCGGTGCCGAACATGACGTTCACAGCCGCCGACTGCCGGGGGGTAACGTTCCCTCACGAGGATCCGTTGGTGATCATCGCCACGGTGGCCAACCACGACGTCAGTAAGGTCCTTGTTGACGGTGGCAGCGGAGCAAACATTCTGTTCCGAAAGGCCTACAATCGAATCAAGCTGAAGCCCAAGCACCTTACGCCGGTACCTTACCCGGTATCCGGATTCAACGGGGCTTCAACTTATCCAGATGGGAAGGTGACACTTCCTGTCACCATCGGCTGCGATGAGGCAGCCAGGAATGTCATGACTGAATTTTTGGTCATTGACGCTCCTTCAGTATACAACGTGATTTTGGGGAGACCCATAATTCATGAGATCCAAGGGGTCGTCTCAACTTATCATCAGCTGATGATTTACGTCTCAGACGCCGGCTTCCCCGAAAGGATACAGGGGCAGCCAAAAGGACGCCCGAAGGTGCAACTACCTCAAGCCATCCACTAGTCGCCCAGATGACGACAAGGATGAGGAGGAGAAAGAAAAAGAAAGAGAGCCAAGCACAAAAAAGCCGAAAGGCCTAAGTGCTTCGGCCCAAGGATTTGTGCCCAGAGAAAAAGGGCCAGAAAGGGAAAAGGCTAGCTCTTCAGCTGAGCCGAAAGACTCAGAGAGCCAGCCGAAGAACAAAAAGACTGGGACACCTGCTGACATAGGCAGCAGGCTAGATTGTGAAGAGTCCAGTCCATCAGCAATGGACATGGACCAACAGACTGAAACAGTCGAGTTGGCCGAAGGAGACGCTGAGAAATGTGTAACAATCGGGATGGACCTTGATCCGAACACCCGTTGTGAACTTATTCAGCTCCTTCGGGACAAAAGAGATGTGTTTGCTTTCTCGGCAGCTGATATGCCCGGGATAAGTCCAGACCTCATCTCCCATAAGCTTAATGTTGACCCAACGTGTCGACCAATTAAGCAAAAGAATCGGAATTACTCCGCTAATAAGAACCGAGACATCGCAGCTGAGGTCAAAAAGTTGCTGGAGGCAGGCTTCATCGAGCCTTGCCAATATCCAGAATGGCTGGCAAATGTGGTGATGGTTCAGAAGGCCAATGGTACCTGGAGGATGTGCGTTGACTTCACGGACCTAAATAAGGCTTGTCCGAAGGATTTCTATCCCTTGCCAAGGATCGATCAGCTAGTCGATTCGACAATTGGCCATGCCTTGCCTAGTTTCATGGACGCATTCTCGGGGTATCATCAGATCTTCATGCACCCCGACGATCGAGCAAAGACGGCATTCGTCACAAACGCCGGGGTGTACAATTATAAAATGATGCCCTTCGGATTGAAAAATGCGGGGGCAACCTATCAAAGGCTGGTGGATCAAGTTTTCGCCGTTCAAAAAAGCCGAAACATGGAGGTCTATGTCAACGATTCGATCGTCAAAAGCAAAAAATCCGAGGACCATGTTAAAGACCTGGCTGAAACCTTCGCCACCTTAAGAAAGCATCAAATTAAGCTGAATCCGAAGAAGTGTGTCTTCGGCGTGAAGTCAGGGAAATTCCTTGGGTTCATAGTCAGCAAGAGGGGGATTGATGCCAATCCCTCCAAAGTCAAAGCAGCGCTCGACCTTCCTGAGCCGAAAACAAAGCGGGATGTCCAGCGGCTCACCAGAAGAATGGCAGCCCTCTCGAGGTTCATTTCCAGAGCTTCGGATAAGGGGTTACCTTTCTTCAAAGCCCTGAAACTCCCGAAAACAAAAGAGCTTGTTTGGGAGAAAGAGCAAAAAGAAGCCTTTAAGCAGCTTAGGGAGCATCTGGCTCAACTCCCAACGCTGGCTAGCCCAGCAGAAGGAGAAACTTTGTATCTGTATGTGGCCGTTAGCCCGGCCACCATCAGTGCAGTGCTGCTGAAGGAAGAAAGCAAAATTCAGCAACTGATCTATTTCGTCAGTCACACTCTGACGGATGCCGAGACTCGCTACCCTCTACTCGAGAAAGTCGCTTTTGCGGTAGTGGTAGCTGCTCAGAAGCTGAGGCCCTATTTTGATTGCCATCAGATAGTGGTCTTAACTGATCAGCCGCTGGAAAAAGTTCTCGGCAAAGTTGAAAAATCAGGTAGGCTGGCCAAGTGGGCTTTTGAGCTCACCGAATTCAGCATCAGCTACCATCCGAGGGCTGCCATCAAGGCTCAAGCTCTAGCGGACTTCTTGGTCGAATGCTCGTACCAGGAGGCGCTAGACAATGAAAAGAAAGTCTGGACCGTGTTTACGGATGGATCCTCCACCGAAAATGGTTCGGGGCAGGGGTAGTGATAACCTCTCCCGAAGGCAAATCCTTTGAGTATGCACTAAAATTTTCTTTTAAGGCCTCGAACAACGAAGCCGAATATGAGGCAGAAATCGCTGGCCTAGAGTTGTGCATCTCCCTGGAAGCCGAGCATGTCTGCTTGAAAACAGACTCTCAGCTAGTTGCATATCAGATCAGTGGCAGCTACGAGGCCAAAGAGCCCTCCATGATAGCCTATCTTGCCAAGATCAAATCAGTCATTGCAAAGCTGAGAACTTTTGAGGTTCAGCTGATCCCAAGGGCTCAGAATACTCAAGCCGATGCACTC